CCCCTGCCAAGGCCATCCCCAAGGCTGGGAGCGAGGGGCCAGGGGAGCTGAAAGCATGCAGCTCTCCCTGGCCAAGGTCCCTCTCTGCAGCCCAGCATGGCAGGGGAGAATGCAGGGGGGGTCAGCCTGAGGAGATGCAAACCCTTGAGGAATTATTTCCCATATTGCCAGCATCACCTGGTAATGCTAAAAAAATTCCCAGTCTCGCCCATATAAAATATCCATCTCTCTGTTATTCTTCACCACCTCCCTTCTTCTAAAGACCTCCAAAGCCCTGTAAGGCTCAGAGCTTGAGGTTGACCCCCAGCTCCAACACTGCTCCACTCCATGTCCTTGGGAGAGTTGATTTTCCGGAAACAGGGGTTGTAGGAAGAGATGTGGAAATGAGGGGGTGGGGGGTTGTTGAATGGAAGGAGAGGTGAGCAGGTGGGGAAGAGAAGGTTTGGAGGGAAGGAGAGAAGGATGGATGGTTGGAGAAGACAAGGATGTGTGGTTAGGAAAGGATGGATGATTGCAAGAGGAGGGGGAAAACTGGATGTTCCTTAGCTCCTCCATGGTGGGTCTGACCCTCAAGGCGAAGCTCCTCAGCTTAGCTCTTGGTGCCGGGGAAAGCCCTGGCTGGCAGCGAGGTGCCAGCGGCTCTGCTCTGGGCTGGCAGGAGGTGAGCAGGTACCGCCTGGCACTGAAGCGGATGGCAGGGGACCTCCTGTCCCTGCGCCAGCACGTCACCAGCCTGGAGGTGGAGAATGGGCACCTGAGGCACAGCCTGGCCTTGCAGGAGGAGCTGGGCCATTCTCTGCTCACTGACGTGGACCCGGACGTCATGACCCGGGATGAGCTGCTGGACAGGCTTGGTCAGTGATGAGGAAGGGAGGGAAGGTAGAAATTGGGGATCCCGTCCCCCTGGCATGATGGAGGGGACCGTGTTGTGATGAGGACATGGTATGGCTGTTGCAGACACCCTCAAGCACAAGCTGGTTGCCAGCGCAGCAGAGATGAGGAGACTGAAGGACCGCGTCCAGCAGCTGCAGAATGAGCTGATCCGGGTACAGACTGCAGCAGGGGCTGCTCAAGGGATGGGGTGGGAGTGGAGGAACAAGGGAGCATCACGGCGCTGCCATAACCACACAAGTGCCTGAGAGCCCCAGGACCCCCACCATGAGGTTCTCCCAGCCCTACAAGCTATGACCCGAGGCTCAAGGTTCATCATGGAAGTCCCTAACCCTAACCCTTCCCCTTCCTCCCCTCTAGAAGAACGACCTGGAAAAGGATCTGGTGATGCTCCAGCAAGCCCACAAGCAGCAGCAAGTGGTGCTGAGGAGGTGCCAGGAGAAGGTGGCCAAGACGAAGGGCTTGGAGGAGACGGTGCGGCAGCAGGAGAAGGTTAATTTGGAGGGGGCTATGAGATCAGGGTGAGAAGGGCAGGCTGGGGGGGCATGAGGTTTTTTGGAGAAGATGAGACCCTCTGGCCTCTTCCTCCCCTCCATGAGCGCTACCTGATGCCGGAGATGTGATGGCCACCACTGGTGACCTGGGGAAGCTCTGCTCTCTCCCGCAGGTGATCAAGGCAATGGAGCAGATGCTGCAGGAAAAGCTGACCGAGGCAGGCAGGAGCTCTGAAAAGCTGCCTGGTGGGTGCAAGTGAGGACGGGGACCCTTGGAGGGTGGACCCATACACAGCTGCTTGATACCCACCTCCTTCTGTTGCTTTGGACCATGTGCTGGTCTGCAGTGGGGGGCAGAGGAGGTCCTGAGTCCCCTGTTACTCATCCCTGAGTATGGGAGAGATGGGAGCTTGCTTCTAACCCCCATCTCTGCACTGGGGGGGGTGTAGGACACATCCCAGTGTCCCCCCCACCCCATCCCACAGGTCAAGCCCTCTCCGGGGAGGCATACACCGCACTGCTGGCCGAGAACCGCAGGCTGCGGGAGGAGCTGGCGAGGCTCCCCCGTCCCTCACTCCCCATCGCCCCACGGCCCCCAGCCTTGTTGGTGAGACCAGAGAGGGGGGCACCGGGCTGAGATGGGGGGGCAGAACCATGACACCCCAAAAAGCAATGCCAGGGGGCAAGTGGGCATGCTGGGGCCATCATCTAGGTGGCATCTCCAGCTTCATAGGGTAATAGCCCCCACTCCTGCTCATCTCATGGCCCACAGGGCAATTTTGGGGGTGCGGAGAAGCTGTCGCTGCTGGCCAGGCTGGAGGAGGCACAAGCCCATGGGCGGGTGCTGGAGAGGCAGGTGGGCATCGCTCAATGGTGGGGGGCCTTGGGATGCAACTAATGTGGGGCACCTCTGGCCCCACCATCTTGGAGAGAGCCGGCATTGTTTGGGTCTGTCCCAGCTGGAGGAGGCGGCAAGGAGGTGGGGACAGGAGAAGCAGGAGCTGGGCACACGGCTGCTGGAGAAGGAGTACGGCTTCCCCCATGCCCTGGCCTTGGTGAGTACCTGGAGGGACCAGGGCCATCCCACACTTGCTGCCAGGGTGACAGATTGGGGTTCACAACACACCCCCACATCAAGGGCGTTCTGCCTCAGTTTCCCTGCAGGACCCTGAGCAAGGTGGGAAGGTGGTCCCTAGGCTTACAGGACCTCCCCCACCAGCATCCCAGGGGTCCCCCTCACCAACCTTTACCTGTTCCCCAGCAGAACCTGCCTGTGATCCCCACGCCTCCTTGAGAAGACCCCAGCCTCCTCTGTCCTAACCCATGGCTGGCCAGACAGACAGACAGACGGACAGACAAACCCAATGCTGGTCAAAAAAGGAGCTGGTGCTTTTGCGCAGGAGGAAATAACAGAGCAAATCCAAGGCGAAGCAAAACGTTAGAGAGTGTCAGAGGATTGTGGTCCCTAGGGACCCCCAAGCAGCCCCCACCCACCCCACACTCCCTAGGAGGTTCCTGGGGTGGCAGCAGGACCGGGGTTGCTCTGGTTTATCTCCCCTGTGGCGTAAGCGCAGCCTTGAGTGAAGGCAGGGATGCAGCAAGCCAAGGTTGTGGCCATGAAAGCGTCCCAGGCGTCCCCCAAATCCTATCTCTGCGCTGGAATCTGGCTGTGAGGAGCCTAAAAAGCCTGCTGGGGTTTGGGGATGTACCCCTGAGCATCAACCAGGAGTGGGCTCCTCACGCCTGGCACTCCAGAGGCCATAAGGTCAGGTAGATGGGTTTGTCCGGCACCAGGATGAGATCAAACTTGGTCCCAACTTCCACTGCTCTCATGGTTTCGATCTTAAAGTTCTCCAGGATCTGGGATGGAGGAAAAAAGAGTGGATGGAAAGTGCTAGAAGTACCACCACCCCCGTGCCACCTCCCCGGTCCCTCCCAGCACCACGTCCCCAGCCTCCCCAGCTGCGGGATGCTCACATGCATGAGGAAAAGCTGCATCTCCAACTCAGCGATTCGACGTCCCAGGCACTGGCGGGGTCCAAAACCGAAACCCAACCCCTTGAAGTGCTTGGGGCCAGCTGCCAGCCAGCGCTGAGGGCTGAACTGCTCCGGTTTGGGGAAGACCTCAGCGTCCCGGCCCATGGCATAGAGACCCACCTGCACTAGTGTCTGCAAGGAAGGACCAGCCCCATGGGTCTGGGATCCCCAGCACTCAGGGTGCAGGAAGGGGGTCACCAGAGGGACTCAGTGGCCATGCTTACCTTGGGCGGGATGCGGTAATCCTGGAGGATGACCTCTTGCATGGTGTACCTCTGCAGGGTGACCGCCACAGGGTGCAGCCTAGGGGGTGACAGGTCCCATGGACAGCCTGGCCCACCCTCATCCCACCTCAGTGTGCGACATCCCAGCAGATTTGGGGAGTGAAGGATCTGGGGATGCTTTTCAGCAGGGGCTCCTCCTCACCTGAGCGTCTCCTTGATGGCAGCTTTGAGCAACCGGATGGTTTTCAGCATCTTCACCCTGTCCCCCGCTGCTTCTCGCTTGGCCGCCAGGACCTCTGCCCGCAGCTGCTCCTGGACCCCCGGGGACCGTGCCAGCTCAAACATAGCCCACTGCAGAGTCATAGAGGTCTGGAGCGGGGCAGGGGAGCAAGGTTTAACATCAGTCAGGACCTTCTCCCTTCCCAACGACCCCACTCGCTCCTTACCGTGTCCACACCGCCTGCCATCATCTCAGTGACGCTGGCCTTGATGTCATCCAAGGGAAGCTTGTCCTGCATGATGAGGCTGCAGAGGATGCCCATGTACTCCTTGGTGCTCTTGCGTTGCAGCCGCAGGTCCCGGTAGACGTTTTGAATACATTTGTCAGCTGAGGAGATACAGAGACATGGTGTGGCCTTCCTCCCCTAGGGCTTTGTGGTAGCCTTACACTGGGTGGTTGGACGAAGGAGAAGGTCTCCACTCTGATAAGATGAAGCCCCTCAAAGGTGTCTTGGGTGACACCCAAGGGAGTTGCGGGCAGCAGGAGCACTCACCCTGGGAGAAGATGGCATCCCAGGCCCAGACATGGTCCTTCCACGTCTTGGTGTTGAGGTGGCGGAGGAGGGCGGGCGGCAGGTAGAGCATGGGTGAGGTGGTATGGAACATGAGGGTCACGGCGTCGATAAAGCGCTGTGCCTCAGGGTCCACGAAGTCCTGCAGCAGCCCCAGCCGCTCTCCGTACAGCACGTGGCACACCGCTGCCAGCACAGCGCCCATCAGGGGACCTGGCCAGAGGGTTACCCTGTCCCTGTCCCCTCCACCCTCCCATGGCCATCTCCAGACTTTCCATGGCTACAGGGACCTGGCTTGGCCTCCTTCCTGCTCCGAGGACCACAGGGCCATGAAGGCATCCATTAGGTAGGGTTAGCTACCGGTTGCTGATCAGTAGATGATAAAACAGTGTTTTATCAACAGTGTTGTTATTCTCTGCTGGTCTGGAGAGAGGACATCCCTCTAGACCCTGCGATTTTGGTGGAGAAGCTTGTCTGGCTATCTCTGAGGATGAGGCTGGGGGAAACACCACATGTTGCCCACCTTGGGCACCCCACAGAGGGGTGTTTAGGGTTTGGGTTGGGTAGACCGCACCCACCACTCACATTCCAGGGCGAAGCGGAAGAGCTCATGGGTGAAGTCGGCCGTCCAGCGGTCCCGGCCACTCTGCCTCACCTGGGCTTGTGCCCGCCGGATGAAATCCTCGCCCACCTCGCTCAGCAGGGGCACAAAACCCTCCACCACCTGCGGCGACAGCACCTCCTTGTTCAGCATCAGGCGGTCCGAGCGCCAGGCCTCCCCCTTCCTGCGGGACACCAAAATGGGAGAGTGAGAAGTGTGTCCCCTTTCATTTATCCCCTCCAGAGGATGCCACCCCCGTCCCTGCCCAAAGCACAGGTCTCCATCAACCTCTTGATGCTCCAGCTTGCCATCACCCCGTGTGCTGGGGCTATTGCTATACGATGTGGGAGCTCCCTTTTTAGGGGACCCCCTCAGCCCCTCAACTCACTTGAGGAGCACACCATAGGGCTTGTTGCGGAAGTCACGGTAAGCCACCCAGGGGGGGACGCTGAAACGCTCCGGCAGTGTCCCCTCAGCCTGGAAGAGGGTGGCAGCGTCCCGGGGGCTGATGATGTTCACGCTCTCGTAGACACCCAGCTTCTCCCTGCCAGGGCACGGAGAGGAATCAGCCCTGCAGCCTCTTATCTCCTCACATCAACCACCCGCAAATCAACCAACCCTCTCCCACCCCCAAAATCCTGCCTGTGGGTTCCACCTCAGGGAGATGCCATTGAGCCTGGCTGGCACACGGCAAGATAAGCTGCTCCGGACTGGGAATACCAGCAGCATCCCAGACTGGGAAGGCTGCCGGAGCTGGGGTAAGGGGAGAATATGGGGGTGGGTCAGACGCTGCCTCACCTGTAAATGGGTCCAAACTGCTGGAACTTGCGAGCCATGATGTGATGGACGTTGTGGAAGCCACCCTCTTGCCAGAAGCGGTACAGGTTGAGCCAGCCAGTTCGCCAGTCACCGGGCAACTGGTTGAAGGGTCGTGGAGTCGGCAGGATGGGGGTGGCAGCCCCCCCAGCCCCGCGGCGGCTGAGGAGACATCCCCGCAAGGCACCCGGCTTGGGCGCAGCTCTGGCGAGCATGGGAGCGAGTGACAGGAGAGGGAGGCGAGGGTGGCCTCGCTCTTATCCCCTCCTCGGCCGCCGCTCAAGGTGAGATGCTCTCGCCCGCCTTCCGATGAGTCACGGCCGCCCCAGGGACGATGAGAATGGGTAGATATTGGGGCATGGGGCAGCCAAAAGGGGTTTGCAGGGCATTGTCTTCTCCCAGCGTTACCCCAGAGGGGTTTAGTGGGTGGTCTGCAGATCTCAAGTGACATGGGGTGACAAGGGGTGACACTGGCTCATGCCACCCTGGTGAAAAGCAGGTGCTAAAAATGCAAATGTGGCTGCCAGGAGGAGAAATGTTTTGGCTGAAGAATAAATGATAAAAAGTCTCCAAGGGGATAAAATAGGGCAATATAGACTTAATAGAGCTCAGGGCTGCCGGGTCACTGCAGGAGGGGACAGCCTCGGTACTGCCTGGCCATCGCTGGGGTACCTCACCTCCACCCTTCGCAGGGCAGAAGGTGCTGGAGGTCACAGGTGCCCCCCTTCCTGGGTGCTCCTACCCCAGAGCCTCGGCTGCCATTTAGTGCAGGAAACCCAGAGCAGGAGGAAAAGGTTTCTGGGGTATTGTGGTCCCTACGGAGCTGGGGACAACAGCTCCCACTCCGGAGTGCAGTGGCAGATACCTTCCCTTGTGCTCAGGCCCAGTAAAACCCACTGGTGACCAGTTTAAAATGGAGTGTGGAATAGTTAATGGGGAGGGAGGCCACTGAGGGGTCTTCGGGTCCTTTTGGGACATCCCTTTGGGGTGACCCTGGAGTTGGCCTTGAGGGTCCCTGGGGTCTCTGGGGTGTCCTTGAAAGGGGGCAGGATTCCAGGACGGTCCCTGCGGGTGACCCGGGAGACACCACCCCACGGCCCGGAGGAGGAGGAGAAGCTCCAGGAGGGCCCTGCTGGGGTCATTCTGATTTAAAGCCTTTCGTAGATTTTTCTTTTCCCGGGGAACCGGGAGGCGGGTGGAGGCAGCGGGGACTGAGCCGGATCCGCGGCGGCTGCGACAACGGCGGCGGGCACACCGCGCCTGCCACCGGCCTGGGGGCTGCCACCGGTGACCCTCTGCTGTTCTCTCCCCGCACAGGCTCTGTCCCCTCCTGTCCCTGTCCCCTCCCAAGGCACATGGTCTGTCCTCTCCTGCCCCATGATCCCCATCCCATCCCAAGGCACAGGGTCTATCCCCTCCTGCTCCATGGTACCTGTCTCCTCCCAGCACAGGAGTCTGTCCTCTCCTGCCCCATGGTCCCTGTCACCTCCCAAGGCACCCACTCTGTCCCACCCACCCACAGCTTGTTCCAGCTGCCACCATCTGTATGAAGATACTCATCCTGGGTGAGCACCCCACACCCTGGGGACATTGTGGTACAGGACCACTCCCCCTGTCCTTCACCCTTGCATTGTCACTGTCCTGGGTGAGACCTGCTGTCCTCACTCCAGCCTCAAGAACAGGGTCAGTCTGGAGCAGTTTGGCCACCTTGGTGTTCCTAAAAACACAGACATGGGCCTAAGGGACACAGAAGGAGGCACAGCCATGAGGTGGCCCTGTCAGCCACCAGCTCCAGACCCAAGAGGAGACAGCCACCTGTCACACTCAGAGTCATCTCTACACCCCCTCTTTCCACCATCTCCTCAAAGCACGGGGCGCCAGCTCATGGGCTCCACCATCCCACATCAAGGGGTCCCACGCACATCTTCCATGGGGGCTCTGCCCTCCTCCCTCCATGCCTCCCACCCCAGGAGGTCTCCGAATTTTCCAGACACCTCCCCAACGGCATTACCACCTCTCTAGCACAAAGGAAAGGTGACAGTTTGTCACCCCACCGACAGCCCCTGAGCACGTCACTCGCAGAGGAAACCTCCAGCTGCTGCGGTGGGCGCAGGAAGCCATGTGGTTTCAGGGGGGGGTCTCTGATGGAAACTAGGGGTTGGGACAGGAAAAGGGTCGGGGAGGTGCTCACTGTTTCCCCAGCCAGCCAAAATCACAGTGGGTGATGGGGTTCTGACCACTTTCACCCATGGCTCCATTCATGTTTGCTCATGACATGGACTGGGGGAGGTGTTTCCTTTGCTTTCTTACCTTAAAAACGCAGCCCACGTGCATACGGGGACCCGCGCTGCTCAGCTCCCAGCCAGCCGCCCACGTCCTTGGGGAAGAACGGTGTTTTTCGTGTGTTTTCCGACAGGTTTCTCTTTGCTTTTCTGCATCCTGGGGTCTTCCCTGCACCTCCGCGTGAGCGACTGCTCATTGCGAGCTCTTGGCTCCTGCCTACGAGCAGGTGGTTGAGAAAGTTTCAGGAGTAAAAATTCCTGCCCAGAAACCCCCTGTGACTGAGTTTAGGGCTGGAGAGGAAACCCCCTCATTTTCGTCATATTAAGTTGACAAATAGAAAACTTTTGGCTGCAAATAGACCAGAGCCATCATCAAGCAGTTCTTCCTGGGGTGCTTCTCCCAGGAGAGGATGACCTGGCTGCACCCCAGACCATCTCACCAGGACAGACTCAACCAGGCCAAGTTTTAATGCAAAACAGGGAAATTTCTAGCTTATTTTTACCATCTTGCTTTAATAAACTGAATTTCCTCTTACTCATTTATTGCGTGCAGTCCCTGACATAAATATTGCCGGGGTTTTGGGATCTCCAGGGAGTTGGGATGGGGAAGACGCAGCCACGGATAGGAGAAGTGCAGCCACATGGGAGGAAGGCCCGTGTTTAACTTCCTCCAGCATCTCCTGGGTCATCCCATTTCTAGTAAGCGGCTGGATTTCCCACTCGCATCGGCTCAGATCCACCTCGGTGGCGTAGCATCACCGCTGTGGACAGTGGGCAAAAAGGAGCCTCTACAAAGGGCAATTAAAACTGAAAAGCAAATTACAACACAAATAAGTTGTTTCTTCTATATTATCTACAATAAAATAATGCAGATACATGCATGGACAGGCAGACACCTGCCCAAAGCTGGCTAAATCCTGAAATCCTTAAGGATTTGCTGCAGGGGAGCAAACAGCCTCTGCAAATAGGACGGGAAAAACCGGACAGGCGAAGAGGAGTGAACCAAGTGGGTGGCACGGTTTCGAGCACCTGATCCAGACACATGAGCTCACAGTGACACCGGCTGCGTCAGACGGGACGGGCAGGACACCCATGGGAGAGCTGGCCCGGAGGTGACGGCACCGTGGGAGCGCCACTGGGCTGGCACCAGCTCCAACCGTGGCTCAGATGCCAAAAACCAAACCCCCCCCCAAAAAAAAACAGTGCTGGAAAAACCAAACTCTCTCAAGGCCTTAAGCTTTTTTTTGCTTTTTCTTTTCGTTTCGCCCATCCTGCCCTCCACCAGAGAAGCCGCTGCAGGACGTGACCTTCCTGTGCGTGTCCGCTGCTATCGAAACAAAGCTCTTGAAATAGCTCAAACAATGCGGCCATTGTCGGGGCAAGGGCAGCAATGCCTCGGCTCTTCCCTGCCCACACACACCTTTTCCCCCCCGACGCCTGCTATAAACCTCAGCCCATGCATTTGCTCAGCAGCCCTGCGGTTTTTGGTTGATTGTATTCGTAGGAAACAGCTGGCAGGCAGGGAAAAGGCAGCCCAGAATAAAACTAAACACGTAATGTTTGGTCTTTGCCACTTTTCTCAGGAAATCTAGCAAAAAGCTCCAGCTTTTGTCTCGGTTGTCCCCAGGGAGGAGGGATAAGGGCTGGGCTAGGGAAGGAGAAGCTGTTGCAGCCTCTGCATGGGTCTGTGGGGGCTCAGTCCCATTCTCCCAGCCTGCTTTTTGGGCAAGAAAACCAAGCCCAAGCAGCCAAAATGGCTAGTGCCAATTTTCAGAACTTTGGTAATCCAATGCTTGGCAGCAATAGAGCTGGAAATGCAAATATCTCGGCATCCACATGCAGCACCCGAGCAATAATGCCTGGGTGCTGGGTTCTGCTCCCTTCCTGTCCTGGGCGAGCTCCCCACCTCCTCCCACCGCTGAGCAGGGGCTGCCAGAAATCACACTTCTTGTTTTAGCTCTGCCAAAACCCCCCCTGCCTTTCGAGCTCGGTTCTCCTTCTTTCCGTCAAGATGCTGCTACCGCATATGGCTGCCGGCACCAAAGTTTTCTGCCAAATTTGGTGCTAAGAAAGAAAGAAGGCAGGCAGGGAAGGCTTTTGCTTTCAGCTGCCAACCCATCCCTGCAGATCAAGGACCTGCAAAACCCTTTGTGGGGACCATCCTTAGTCTCCCCCCCATCGCCTCTGATGCTTTGCAAAAGGAGTTCACCACAAACCAGGGCTGGAGCTTGGGGGGTTCCAACCCAACCACCAGTGCCAAAATAGTTTCAGGTCCTGCAGGAAGCACTAAGAATAGCGCAGAGAAAGGTGGCCAGGCAGGAGTTTAGATGAAACCACAGCCCTTTTGAAAGCCTTGCAAAAGCGGGGCTGAGCTCTGCTGGGCTCCAGCACCGGCCCTGCCTTTGTGGCGAGGTGCTTTGATGGAGCGGTTGAGAGAGAAGGGGAGAAATTGTTCTCTCCTGATTTTGTTGGCACATTTTAAAAGCTTGAATTTCTGCTGCTGGAAAGGTAAGGTAAGACATGGGAAAAGGTGGGGAGACCCTTTGGTCCTGGGGGAAGAGAGACAGGGGAGACCCCAGCCACCATCACAGCAACATCCTTTGGCACCTGAGGAAAAACCCAGCACTCGCCTGCTCTTTTCCATTCTTTATTCCAACAATCACATTCTCACTTTGGTGACAGCTCTGAAAGGTTGTGGTTTTTTTGGTAGCTGTTGTGTTGGGGTTTTTTTCTCTTCTCTAATTTGAGCCCACTTTCTGTAATATTATAAAATTATACAAGTACAGTAATCACCAGTCGATAATAAATAGGTTATTTGTTAGTTCACAAAGTTAAAGTGCTTTGAGAAGGGATGTAAGAAGCTCTATCCTAGATTCGGGGGGAGGGTTCTTGGAAATGTAGTGCAGTAGGAAGCTCTGGCCTGTTGTCCATCG